CTTTATTGTTCAGAGTATGGAGCATTCAAGCTTGTTAATCTCTTCAAGAAGATGGGTGATGCTATGGCGATTGATGGAAAAGGCCATAAGAAATTTGTCTACCTTCGGAACTGGAAAGCAGGCCCAAGTGCACCTCCTTTAGTTCTGGCAAGGAAGGATAAGAAAGGAAAGGGGACTCAGGAAGATAATATGGATTTTAATACTGGTGTAGGCTCTTCGGATGACTTCTCTGATGAGGAAAGGATGGTGGTTGAGGAGCTAGATGATAGGAGGAACCAAGGGAGGATTAATTTAAGAACAGCAGCTGGATGTGAAGTTGATGACTGTCATCTGGAGCAGTTCAAATATGAATTGCAGGAAATTCTAGTCAGCTATTCTTGCTTGATTTTCTTGGGTTGTTTTGAGGCAATATACCAGCAACGGTACAAGAAACCTTTGGACTATCAGAAGCTCGGTGTTGAAAAGCTGGAGGAGTTGTTTGACAAGGTGAAAGATGTGGTGGTTGTGCAAGAAGACCCAATAAGCAAGAAGAAATTTCTGGCAGCAGTAGATGGCTAGCAAAATCAGGTAGCTGCATTTCCCTGTAACCTTTTGAATTTCTATCCTTCTTTGACCTAAAAAGGGCTGACAGTTGAGTTGACTACATGCTTTTTCAGTGCTTGGTCCCTCTATCTGTCTCTTATTTTCTTTCCCTTAGAAAATTTCCATAAGTAATAATACTAGAGATGGAAGATGCTGTTTTTGATATGTGTCCTGCATGGAGTTGTTTTAAAATTTCCATGTAATACTGGTGCCTAGGATTGTAACTGATTCACTGCTACTATGAAATCTTTGTGTAAATCAAGTCTTTTTATTTATATCTATCTTAGCAAGTATAAGAATTGATTCTGGATTCAGTTACAGAATCTGCTTAGATAATTATCATTTGAAGCTGCTAAATCTTTATCTCTTTATTCCTTGTGTGATGCCTGATTATTTAACAGGTGCAGGTCTGAGAACCCATGTCCTGGATAATCAATGCCTTGACTCACACTTCTGTACCTGTTGTTGATTTTTTTACCTTAAATCCATTCCTGTGTTGTTACCGCATCCGCATACCACTACCCAATATAGGTTTGGAAATAAGTTGGAAAACAAACCTTAATTTCTCATTATTAAATATTTGTATATTAGTTATTTGAAAACTGGCACTAGGAGTTGTAGGAGGCATTGTTGTTATCAATGTGGAACCAAGCAGCCATTGGCCATTTCTTCTTAGTTCTTTCTGGGAAATTTCAGCAATTTTGGTTGTCAGTTTCTCTTGAGATTGCATTACGAAGAAGCTGAACGTCTTGGCAGAATGCTACTTTTTTCACTACATTTTCTACCTTGCTACCAGAGAGTCTTGAGTCTGTCATAAGTCATGACTTGTTGCTTCTGACCTTGTTTTGATCCAGTTATGGTGCAAATACAGAGACTATTGGACTTCTAACCACAATGTGTTTTCCATTAACTTTGTACCAGTTCAGGAACCCGTAATTCACAATGCGGTCTCCCTGTGGTGCGGTTTCTGCTCCCATATCCGTATGACCAGTTGGGTATGACCAGTTGGATAGAACTCAGGTTTGCTATATTTTCTTGCAAAAGAAACTGTCTTTGTACTGCAGTTTTTGTATCTGTTGAAGCCTTATTAAGGTCATGTTTGGTTGGTGGTAATGGTTATTACTTGGTCAAACTATAAAAACAAGATAAATTTAATAAATTTCTTCTGGAAGTTAGGAATAGCTAAGCCTTAATATTGATAATTTTTTTACTAAAGTAAGGGATGAATGAGGAATATTCATTCCTTCCATTTTTCAAGGAATAAGTATTCCTTAATTCTTTTCTAAATTAAAGATAAATTAGATATTAAGGCTGAATTATTCCTAACTTCTTAATGAAACTTTATTCCTTTTAGCTTGTTTTTATAGTTTGACAAAAGAATAGTCATTAACACCAACCAAACAAGCCATGAGAGCTGCATACATAAAACATATTTGCTAAAACCCTCTTGAAGGTGAAAGCTGGTGGTGCTGGTGTTGTTCAAGATGAAATTGATGGATACTCCGAAAATTTTAGGTTTGTCGCTTCAGCTTCTAGCCATTTAGAAGTTGAAAACAACTTTTAAAAGAAGTCAAAACCATTTTCTTAAAAATTGCTTTTAACCAACTCCAACTTCTCAATAGAAAAGTTTTATATGACGAGGGTAAAAACAAGCACTAATTAAATCTCATGTAGAGAGAACAATTTCGCAAAGCTCTAGGCCTAATGGAAGGGTGCTTTGGAGTTTGGACTACTCAAAAAAACCGAAGAAGAAGAAAATACTTTGGATCTCTAAGGTCATTTTTTTTTTGTTTATTAATGGAATCACTATTTTATAATTATTATATGATCAGGTTTTACTCTCCCTATCTTATAATAATATAATAGTCATTTTTTTTACTTTTTTTAAGGATGAGAGAACTTTTGGGTAATTTATGTTTTTTTAATTAAAATATTTTGACATTAAAAAAATTTTATTTACCTTAAAAAATAAAAACAGATAATAAATTTCATATAAATTTTCAATCATACATTAGTGTGAAACAGAAGTGGAAATCAAAAGAAGCAACACATTGACGCTGCTTATTTTCTTGTCTTGGTACAAATAGCAATGTCTTTCTTAGTGGCTCTTCATTTATTCGAGGTACTGTACCCCGTGCATATGCCTTTTGACAGAGGGACGGCCTCCTACATTAAACCACTTCCCACCTGTCTTTGTCAAATATCTCCTTGCACACATTTATTAATATTGCACTCTTTGGTCCCATTCGCCCACAATGAAAATACTGTGTTCAGACCCATTATATACAATTTGTATTTCCATTTAGATTCTAGACTATTATATATGTTGAGATGATCAAGTCGCCGAGAATAGGTATAAATAAGGGCACATTCAATTTCAAAACTATATTATATGCTCAAGGAAAAATCAAAGATTATAGTCTTGAACTTTGTTAGAAATCTTGACCGTGCTACAAAATCAAATTAAAATTGAAGTCTTCACTCTACATATATCAATGATTACGGAAGTTCTCAACTCTTCTCGAAACATAAGTTCTTCCTTCAATTTCAAATATTTCCTACAATTTGACCTTACTCCCCCATCAACCCAATTCAAACCTCAACCTAAAAGAAACAAGTTGGTTGGAATTTGTCAAACATAAATTACTATAAAAATGGAAAATGTCATGAATCGTATCTGTGTTAGGTAAATCATACATTTTTTTTGCCTCTCACTATTCTATAAGGATTAATTTTTCATGAATCTTTTAATTATTGAAGGAATAATGTGCTTTTCATGATATTAATGTTCAAAAATGTATTTTCATTTGAACGAAAAGAATGAACAAAAATAATTTTTCCTTTAATTACAGAGAGTGGATTGATTCTCGCCCTGTTGTGGAGCGAGAGAGTGAAGGGTGTACCACACAAGCAAGTAATGCTCTTTCTAAGCTATTTACAATGACAGACATAGAAGGCCTGTCTCGGCCTTCTCGCGTCACACAATCTGCCGCAATGTACCCTACATGTGCCACTGCTTCTATTTCAAATGGTGTTGGTGGTGGCACCCTCTGGTCCAATACTCTGTGAATTTCATCTTTAAAGATATATGGCACCACATAATCTACCACATTCCTTGGAACGTCGTTCTCATTCCGGTGAATTGCCTTATACCCTGACAATAATTCTAGCAATACGACCCCAAAACTGTAGACATCACTCTTCGAGGTTAATAGTTGCAACCTGTAGTACTCAGGGTCCATGTAGCCAACCGTGCCCGCTGCGCGAAGTGACAAGGGAGACTCGTCTTCCTTAGGACCCATCAAGGATAGACCAAAATCGGATACCTTGGCAGTCCATATTTCATCAAGTAGGATATTTGATGACTTTATGTCACGGTGAATGATTGGGGGAACTGCAAACTCGTGTAAATACTGAATTCCCCTCGCTGCGTCTAGTGCGACCTTGATCCGGGCAACCCATGACATCAATGGCGAGTCATCGAGCTTGTGGAGATGGTCATGGAGGGTGCCGTTACTCATGTACTCGTAAACAAGCACGCGCTCGTTGCAGTCTTCACAGAATCCGAGGAGGCGCACGAGGTTCTTGTGGTGCAGACGGCACAGAGATTCCAGCTCGTTTAGGAAGGCAAGGTCTTTGTCCTCTTGACCCTGTCTCTTGTTACCGAATGCGTAGGATGAAGTGGCGGACAGCTCAGCTCGCTTGACTGCTACTTCACGACCGTCGTCTAGCGTTGCATGGTAGACTGAGCCAAAGCTGCCTGAACCAATTTTGTGTTCATCCGAGAAATTATTGGTGGCTTGGAGCAAAACCTGTATGGAGAATTCCTCCAAGTGGGATGTTCCTATGCTAGTCAATTGGCTTAGACGCTTTTCTAGAACTGGTGGTGGTGGCAGGGGCAGTGGTGGTTGCGGCTGGCCAGCACCACCTTCTTCCGGTAGATCACCGGCCTCATCCAAGCGTCCAGAATCATGGACTCTACATCCTCTGCCTTTGCAATATCTAAATAAAAAGAACCCAATAACTAGCAGCATAGAGGAGGATCCTACACATCCCACTACTAGGAAAGCTAGCATTCTACCATTCCAACCACTGCTGCTTTGCCGCAGTGCAGGGGAAGCTGATGGTTGTGGTGATGGCGGCACCACTGGCCACGGTGGAATATGTTCTGGACAGGATTGGCAGATAGATTGACCGCTGCCGCAAAACTCTGATGATCCTGTCAATGGGCCACAGGGACATTGACTTTGATTCCTGCATGACCCCGGCAATATCTCGGAAAACACCATGAAACTGGTGTTGAAAATCTCATTACCCCAACAAAACAGAGAGTAATTTGACTTGACTACGCCGCAGAAAACACTTCTCTTTGCTTCAATGGCAAGGAAATACGTCTCCTGCAAACTCTCCGGTAACGTGAAATTATTCTGCCCCCAACAAACAACCGTTTCATCAGTCCTCAAGGCACAGCTCCGATTTTCCCCTAAAGCCAATGCCAGGAACTTCCCCTGTGGAGCCTTATCCATCCTATCTATATCTCCCCAACAATTCAAATCGCCACTTGAATTAATCACACAAGCATGCCTTAATCCTGCCGAAATCACTCTGTAATTATTTCCCTTCGGCCACTCTCCGATAGAACCATTAATATTTCCTTTGCATCTAATTTCTCCAGTTTCCAATAACCCACAAACAAATTCTCCACCAACGGTGATATTCGAAAAGCTCTGAACCCAACTCCTGTTGAATTCCGGCCATTGCCAACACCGGAGGTTATTGGTCCCATTAACAAGACCACAAAAATGGGAATTTCCAGCTTCAAGTTGGGTCAGGGGAGGACCACTGCGAATTCTCTTGGCCTTGGGCGACACAGCGGACGACATATTGGAGAATCTCCAACAGCGAATAATTGACCCAAACCTCAACGTACAAAAGAACCCATCTCCGCCTATGATCCCAGAAATCCCAGAAACATAAGGAATCTCCAGAGTCTGAATCCCTGAACCTGAAGGGAAACTGGAACAATTAACAGAAGGTTGTCGGCAGCGAGAGGGCTGAACCAAGGCGCAAATTAATGTCTGGTTTGAAGTTTCAGAGATTGAGAAAGTGGGGAATGAAGAAGCAGAGTAGAAAGGATGAAAAGAAAAGAAGAGGAGGAAAATCAAGAAAGAAAATGAAGAATTATCCATGGAAATGATGAAGGAATGAATCTCATGGTGGGAAAATTAAAAGAGGATAGGGGAGAAGAGGGCGCTGTTGGTTTTAAGGGACCAAAAGGTGGAGGAGACATTGGTAGGGAGGAGAAACGCGGTTTGGTGGAGTTTTGGGTGTAGAAGAGGACCAGAGACCGAGTCCTGGCACCGAGTCTGAGAAGAAGGGGTTTAGAAGGAGCGTGTGGTCAAAGGGGCAAATGCTGACAACGAGGCCCAAAAAGGCCACTTAACGTAAAAGGTGACGTTGATTTGTATTTTACTATTTGTTTTTGTCCTCCACGTGTGTTATGGTTTACACATTCACCGTCCACTGACATTTGCTACAAAAATTTATTATGTTCACATAATTTGCAGTGCCAGTATCTAGTTTGAGAAAAGAAAAATTCAATTAGTCTCGACATTAAAAATATTAGTACGTTGGTTTATAATTTGATTTGATTAAATATATAAAATATATGAAAATGTTTTTATAGTTTAGTGATCATTTTATTTTTTTAAAATGATTTCTCTTGCTATGATTTAAAGATACAGAGTTTGAATCTTACTTTTTAACTATAAATATATATATAATATTATAAATTTTAAGTTTATTAAATGTATTATGTAATTGTTATTAAATATTTTAATGTTTTTAATATTAAAATATTTTAATTATCTTTTTTCTTATTTAGTTTAATTCATATTTTATTTGTTTATAATTTTATTTAAATAATTAATTATGATATTTAAAATGTTAATTTGTAAGTATATTTTAATTTATTAAGTAATAAATGTAAGATATTTTAATTTATTTTGTAACATAAGATATTTTTTCTGTTATAAGTTATTGTTAACAATTAAACCAAACAAATTCAATTTTTTTGAGACAATATTAATAAATTTGTGTAATCTTAATAAATTATTATGTAACCATAATCATATCCCTAACATTTCTTTTCAAAATAATATACATTAACTCATTTCATTTGAAAATTCACTTGTGATATTATATATATTAATTTATTTAATGATACATTATAATAGTAAATTTATCATCTTACATAATATTATAACTATATCATTATGGCATTCTTTTCGAGGTTTAAATGTCTTCTTGCCTCTTATTTACTTTAGTTTTTTCTAAAGGACGCTAAACTTTATAACTTTTTATTTTATAAATCAAACTAAAAAAAAAATTATTAAATGGGAAACAGTCTCTAATATTAAAGAACTCACCTTATTCCAATAGTAAATGTCTACAATTGAAATTCTGAAAACTTTTTTCTTTCTTTCAGTGTTTGTTGTTAAAAATAAAAGAAAAAGAAATTAGTGTGTGCGAATATTTTTCTATTTTTTAAGAGTTAAGAACTCACCTCATCATGGTTTAAGGGTGGCCTAAGAAAAAAAGGGAAAGAATTGAGGCCGAGTAGAGGTTGAACCATGTATTGACATTTTATTGGTTTGAAACTTCTATTTTTTTTTTTATTATTCTTAATTTGAATGACAACCTTTAAAGGGAAAAGAGAAAATCAAGACATACTAGTATTAAAAATGATAAGATATCTAATAATACTTACGTGATAAATTTAATAAAATCATAACTCACACTATATCCTACACATTTAATGGTTATAATTGGATGTCCTACTATTTTTAATATTAAGACGTCTTGATTTTTCTTTTTTTCATCTCAAAAAAATATTTAAAACCCTAAACCATAATTAATTCATCTGAGATTTTTTTTTGTTTGATTAATGAAATATTTTTTTAGCAATTCCTAATGTTAGTTTATATTTAGTAATAAGTAGGAATCTATTTACATATAATTCTTACAAATCATATTTACATAAAATCTTAACTATTCATTTTTTTACTTTTAATGATTGAGATTTATCACAACTTTTTAGTTAAAAAAATTATTTTTAATAAATGTAAATAAATCTTAATAATTGAAAGTGAAAAGATAAATGGTTGAGATTTTGTATAAATATGATATGTAAAACTTGTGTATAAATGATATTGTGATTTACAATTAATATATCATATTTCAATACATATGGACCAATCAACACATTTTACAAATCAATTATTGAACTATATTACAAATAAAACAAAATCCATGTAAAATCGTATTAAGTCTACACATATATATGGTAGAAATTAAATCTAGAATCTTATGATTTCAAGCCTCTGCCATATCACTTATCACCAAGCAAACACTTCATCAGCAAATGTTCACATCTACAAATATAATGCATTACTATTTCTCCTACTATTTCAATAAAATAGGACTGCAATTAAAACCTATTTGAAACTTATTTTTTCATTTTCCTTTTTCTGTAGGAAAATGCATTTTTAAATTTAAACAAATGGAAGCAAGCATCAAGTCTTCCACAATGAAGATTGCTGCCTAAAAGAAAAGGAGAGTGGGGATCCAATCCAAATTTGGTAAGGTTAGCCCATTGGCAACAACAGATCATTGGCGAAGAAGTGGGCCTTGTTTACAACTTGCCCTCTGGAATTGGACACATTAACATTTAACACACTGCTGCTTTTTAGTCAGAGGGTGAAACGTCGAGAGAGAGTCAAAGCTTGTCAATTTCAGAATTCAGATGCCGAACGCGTACCATACAGTTGTCTCTAGTTGATGTGCTATAACTTGTCATTACACACGATAAAATTGTGAGATGTGTAACTTAGATTTGGGATTTTTGTAGAAAATGGAAATTTGGAACTTAAAATAACCATCTCAAGTGTCTTCCTTCATGCTTAATTAAGCTGTTTAAATCATTGATCTAAGTTAAAATTTCAATAAAAAAATACATAATAATTATTCCAATAATTCTCAATGACCCTAGACATATTTTTAATAATGTACATATTAAATGTCGGTGATTTAAATAATTTAGCAATTCTTAAATGAAATTAAGAGATTTTGATTTCAATTCATATAGTATATAAATGTAGTGGATTAAAAAATAAAAAAAAAATTATTTTTTATTGTATAACTTAAGATAAAAAAAATATACATATTAAATTACCATTAACTTATTATATAGAGATTATAAAATTAGTATTGTATCATAGACTAACATTCTTTGCTTAGGAGAAAAACTTAGATTAAGATAATTTTTCAAATAAATTAAATTATAATTCTCCCTTAACCCGAATTCCCTCTCAAGCCCATACAAAAAATTCAAATAAAAAGCTTTTAGCGATATTTACCTAGATCGGACTTAAATGACTCAATTGTCCACCATCCCAAGCCTAAGTGTTTGGGATTCGTAAGGTTGGAAGTTGACTTCCACCTAGGAAGACACTGGAAATCCTATTGTGAAATTTTTGTATTAGAATATTATTATTACCGTATTATTATTGTTATTATGTACCATGAGAGACCATTATAAGATAAAAATTGTTAGTGAAATATTTTCCAAACTTATATGTGTAAATTACGATAATTTTACTTTAACTTAATTAAAGATAACTAATTTGAATTGAATAAAACGATACTCTACAAATGAATGAAAGATTAATTGGAAAATGTCCTTTTGGCTCTAGAAAGGTAAAAATGTGTTTTGAATGTTTAAATTAACTGAAAATATACAAAAAGAAACGATATATTGTATTTGTAAAAAAATTAGCTCTATGCAGGCAACTAGAGTTTCCTAGAGGTTGTGTGAGAACATGCCTTCTCTGTACAGTCAAGTGGGGGATCTAGCCCCTGTACCTCTGCATGGACCCGGGGTTCCTCTGATGCTCTCATCCTCTTCCTTCTCGTGGTGCTCCTGTAAAGGGTAAGAGGCTGAGAAGAAGAGTCTTTTGAGGGGGCATGGGAGGAGGGGTTTGAATGAGTTCGTTGGTGCTGGTGAGAGGTACAGGGCGAGTGTATGATACACGACAGGCTAGGTGCACGGCATGAGGCAAGAGTGCCGTGCAAGGATTGCTTGCACTGCAAGGCTAGTGCGTAAGGTGGGTGTCTGCGGTCTTGTGAGGGAGTTATTGCTCCTGTGCGAGGGCTATGGCGGTGGTTGGTGGAAGCTACCCGAATGTTTTCCGTAGATGGAGGTGGTGCTAAGGGCTTGGGTACTGTGTTTGGTTTTTTGTTTGTCTCATGCAAGGGTTGAGGTTTGTTTTGGGCTACTTGGTAGCCCTAGTTGGTGGGATAGAAGAATCTTGTTCCAAAATTTTCTTAATTAGAGTTATTGGATTGGTATTTCTTCTTCTTAATGGTAGCTCGGATATGGAAATCTATTTGGGCTAAAGATGATTG